TCGATCTTGGAGAAAGTAATTCAGCTGAAAATTTCTTAACTACTCTATATGTATGTGTGAGGGCACAATTATAATTGGTTTATTTCCTAAATTAATTTTAATAGAATTGACCGACTAATGGTAATTTTAAAATTGAGTGGGTAAAAATTTCGACCACACTTGTTATAAGAGTAACAACTTATTTTGAAATTTGAAAATTTTTATTAAAAAATAAAAATGAATATGTTGAGATTTGCCTACAAAATTACCTACTCGTTCGTATGATCGATTGAATGACAATTTAATGCAAAAATTAGCAATTACTATCTAAAGAACACTCAACAGGATTAATACTCAATTTTTTTATTTAAATATTAATTTTTTTACTTTTGAGATAAAAGATTATTAATTAAATATTAATTTTTTTAAAAAATATTTGGCAGCTAATTGATTTTTAAGATATAATTTGGAGGATAAAATGAAGTTCCAAATAAAGTTTGGTGCTACGTCAGCATGTTTTGTTTGATTGTAGACGGAATCAAACAGTAAGGGATAAATTGATCAAATTTCACAAAAGTTTATATGTTAAATTAAAATAAGACGAAGTCTAGATACGAAATTTATTTTCACATAATAATTTAGAGGGCAAATTAATATTTTTCTCTCGTAGTTTCCAATGAAATTCTTTGCCTTTACCTTTATTTCCAAATTCTTAACGCTACTCTTTGTTTTTTGGACAAACTTCATTTCACCATGTGGTTCGGCCCACGTGTGGTTTATCCCTTTAATATTTTAGAAATGATCACATAACCTTCGCGTGATTTGTGGACTGAAATCCACCGTTAAATATTCCGTCCGACTTAACAGCAAGTGCAAAACATGTGACAAATATAAGGATGTTATATGCTAATTTTCAAATTTTAAGGGAGTAAATTGCAAATGAAATAAAGTACAAGGGGTTAAAGTGCACTTTAACTTCCAAACAAATGATGAAAATACTAGAGTATTTTAGTATTTTTTATTAAATCGTTAATGGGTCGAACGGTACATTTCAGTTTACAAACCATAATAGGAAGTTTGCCCTTATTTTTTTACTAGTTTAAGGGCTCATTTGGTACAATGTCAAATTTTGATTTGTCAAATATTTTATTATGTGAGGTCTAACTTTAATGTTACATCATTAAGAGTTATTTATGAGTGATAAATTAGAAGAGCGAGTCTCGTGGCCTAGGGAAGGGAGGGGGAGGGGTTGGCCAATGAATGTGGGTTAGGGTTTATAGGAAAGAGGGATTAAAGAAGTAAATATTAGGCGTAACAGTGATACCACATTGCAGTATTACCATTCAATGAGTAATCTTACTCTGCGGTAGGGATCACAATATTGTTGGGTTAATGGGAGGTAAGGGTTATCTACCTAATTCCATTTACCTCTCTTTATTTGCCAGTGACACCACTCAATATTCTTTCAATGAAAGGATAGAGGAAGATGAAGATGAAGAGATAATGAGGAGAGAGAAAGAAAAGGGCATTTTATTAATTTCACAGATTTTCCACTATTTTTATAATTATTTTGGAGCATTTCATGTGTAGTTTTAATCCTTTTCGATTCTCTAGTCTTTTATAATTAATTTTTAAGCTTTCCATCTATTTGTCATTCTCCCATTCTTGAGGAGATAGTTCCTTAGAATATGAAGGGGTTTCTTGTCCCCTTGGTAAAAGCTACCCTCTAATTGTTTCCACTCCATTCATCAAATCGATAACACAATTTTTTTGAAGTTTGTTATTTTTGGCAAGAGATTAGGTTTATAGGATTCGACCATGTATTTTGTCCAATATCAATTCTTGGCAAGTATCAAATCACATGTTTAAATACAAAATTGGAATCTTTGAATTAATAGTTCTTTCGGACTATATATCTTCTATGGAGGACTATTGAATTATATGAGAAGAGAAGATGAGAGATGAGATACAAAATAGAGGATTTAGAGGGGTTTAGGTTAAAGGATTTAAAAACTAAAATATCCTCAAACTATAGTTATTACACCATATAGTTCATGTCTAGTAATTCGAGACAAACATGGAATCAAATTAGAGGATATGATTCTATTAATTCCATTCTTAATTTCGAGACATTTCAAACATCGGATATGAGATATGTAATTTTAAGGTATTACTAATCTCAAAACTATTAGGCTTGAGTGGCCTCATTTGAGAACATGTTATTTTAGTGACTTTTTGATTTTTGGACTAAAATATAAGGTAAACAAAATTAGTATGTTTGAAATCACTTTTTGATTTTTTACGAAAAAATATGTAAAAAGTAGAGATAAAAGGAAATCTTTGAATTTTTGATATAGGTTATTGGCTTTTTAATTTTTGGGCGAACTTCAATTTACCCCCCTATGGTTTAGGCCATGTGCATATTACCCCCCTGACTTTCGAATATCACTACATAACCCCCCTGTGGTTGATGGAGTAATGTGCACCGTTAGCTTTTCCGTGTATTCTAACCGGCTGTGCAGAGCGAGTGTGGTGCAAGTGGGCATGAATTAATGATGTTCCCTCACAATGAAAAGACCAAAATGCCGCTAGGGTTAAACATAAAAGCTTACCCAAGAAGATTGATTTTTATATTGCCTCCTTGCTTTGTATGTTGAGTTGCAGGCTAGTCTACCTAGCAAAAATGTCATCTTCAAGCATTGGAGGTGGAGAAGGACAAATGTTGAGGTTCATGAGCAAGAAATGTCATTGTGGGAGAAAAACAGCCATTAGAATCGTGGAGTCCGAGAAACCTTCAAAAGGTGAGTTGTACTATGTTTGTGAAAATGCGGGTTTTGGGGGTTGTGATTTCTCGGCTTAATGCAACCCAGTTGGATATGCTCCCATCTATGGAAGAGATGAGATTGATGATGAGAAGCCAAGAGTTGAGGAATGTGTGCAGTTTAATGGAAGACTGATGAAGTTGGAGATGAAGATAGAGGCACTGACCATGATGATGAAGACATCTATGGTGGTTTTGCTTGTGTGTTTCATTTCCACCATGTTAATGTTTAGTATGAAATGAATTTGTAAGGTGCTTTATGTACTTGATGTATGTTTGAAAGAAATGAAATTATGTTTATGAAATTTGTGACTTTTGTATGTATTTTTTTACTGCAACATGAAAATGCATTGAAAATTATTCCAACACAAACTCTGCTGAGTTTAATTGGAAAAAAATAACAAATTCTTAATTTCTTTTACTGCATTCCAATACAAAACATACAACCAACATTTCCAACACAAACAAAATGACTGTATACTTAAAGCAATGGTAACCCTATTGAGTTAATTTGCAAAACAACAGGCCTCATTCCAAATCAATGCACTTGAAGCAATGGAACAAAAATGACGGAAAAAAACTAAGATTGACAATGCTATTCAATACCAATCCATTTACAGAAGTATGCGGCATTTGAAAACCATTCTCAAAAACCATAACTCTAAATACAAAACATAACTCTATATACAAAAACATAACTCTATGTGTGTGTCTATCATTTCTTAGCTTAAATACAAACACAACACATCCCACAATATTGTTTCATTACAAAAACATAAATAATAACAGGTAATCCTATAGTTTACTTTGACTCAGTTGCCAGTTCTTTGTCCAATCTCCTTACTTTGATTGTCTCTAGTACAGAAGTTACTGAAACAGCATGCCCTCTGACAACAGCATTCACTCCAGCATTCACTCCAGTTCTTCCAACATTGACTGTAGATTCAGATGCATTAATTGGTCCTCTACCCCTCCCACCAACTGTGATTTCACGTCCTTTGCCAGGACCACTTGATGCCTTTCTACCATGGGTTAGTAGTTTTGTGGGCTGCAACAACATTTTCAACTAACAAACTGAAAAGTTACAAAATAAAAAAGTCAGTTATATAAACAAGTGAGTTACCTAAGTGGATGACCTAGTACTCCTCATCCTCAGTTCAATAGAAGTAGTACTCATTGGTCGCTGAGATACTGCTTGGCCTCCTCTTCTAGTTTGGCTGTTACTAGACATCTGAGGCAAAAAAAATTTCCAATTAGGAACAAATTGGGGAAACTACTGTTAGTTTCCTACTTGAAGTTACAAGTCAACATTAAAAGTTGGTTACCTTATTTGATGGGATGTTTGTTGTTGGAGTAGGAGTAGGAGTTGATACAAGTTGAGATGATTGCCCACTAGTACATCTCTGTTGTAACAAACAAATTAAGTATACAATAAATAAAGTATACAACAAACAAATAACAACATGTGTACAATAAATGAATGCATAAGTATACACTAACCTTCACCATTTTGGACTTAGGATGCAGTTTGTTCTTGCATGACCTCCGATTGTGCCCCTTCTGCAAATATTTAGCACATGTCAAATTGATGTTCTTCCTTGATGCCTTGTGTGGATTTCTAGGCTCATTTGCTTGTCTGTTTCTTAACTTCTTTGGTCTGCTTGCTAATTTCTTTGCTTCTGGTGGATTCAATTTCTGGCCACCTTCCTCATACTCATACATGTCTGGCACTAGGTGTATCATGAATGCATAAGTATCCAAGTACCAAGACTTGCTGTAATACTCATGCACATAGGCTTTTAGCTGTTCATGATTAATTTGAATGGCACTAATGGCATGACTACAAGGTAAACTAGACAAATCCCATCTCTTGCAACTGTATATCCTAGTACTTAGGTCCATTATATATCTCCTTTGACAATGATCAACCTCAAATTCCAATTGTCCACACCAAGTTGCAAAGCAGTTCCTTGATTTCACCTTCAACTTTTCAAGTTTGTCATGAATATTGGAACAAATCTCACCACTGTATTTTTCCATTTCAGCCTTTTTAACTTGAATCCTTTGCATCAATTTCTTTCTGATCCATTCAAACATGGAGATTATTGGTAGCTCTCTAGCTTTTAGAATGTAAGAATTGAATGACTCACTCAAATTGTTCACAAGGATGTCACACTTGCTCCTTGGAGAACAATGTGGCCTACAAAGTAGGATCAGTCTCCCTCAACCACTCCACATCTGTCTTCTTATTTCTAGTCTTAGGATTAGTTTCTTCAATCTTCTTCATCCAATAATTGAATTCATGCACATTTCCAGTTGATGCAGCTTTCCAAAACAGGTCTTTCAACACACAACCACTATATTTTGTCTTGAAGTTACTATACATATGTCTCAAGCAGTATCTGTGATCTGCAGTAAGGTATAACTCTACAAATGTTTCAATTAACCCCTTCTGTCTATCTGATATAAATGTCCACCCCATCTCCTCAACACTCCCAATATCACTAATCAATTCATGAAGAAACAAAGACCAAGGGGCTTTACATTCTATCTCAACCAAATCCACTGCAATAGGATACATGTTGTCATTTCCATCTCTCCCAATAGCACTGAGTAGCTGCCCTCCAAAAATCCCTTTCAAATGACAACCATCTAGTCCTATTATTGGTCTACACACTGTTAGAAATCTATCTTTCCGTGCACCAAGTCTGAAATACATTCTTTCAAATGTAGGCTCTGTCTTTTCAGGATTAGTTGTTATTGAAATGTGTGAGGTTGGATTTTTCCTAATAACTGTAGCTGCATAATCCCTAATCCTGTGATATTGCTCTGCTAAATCCCCTGCAATTATCTCCATTGCCTTTTTCTTTGCCCTATATATTTGAAACCTACTTACATCCACCATTATCTCTTTTCTAATTTTTTTCTTGAAAGAGGCTATGTTAGTGGTGGGGTCATCTCTCACCTCATCTACAAACTTCTTCCCCAAATACTTAGAGTTGGCTTGTTTGTTGCTGTAATGCCTTCCACATGTGTGTTTCCCCTCTAGAGTTTTGATCCGAAAGGTTGTGGTTCCCCCAAATGAAGAGGCATGTATCCTCAAAGTACAACCATGCCTACAAACAGCAGTGATCCTAGCACTCTCATTTTTTATGTACCTTATATCATAACCATGCACCACATTAAACTCCCTCAAATACTCTCTAAAAACTTGGGGATTGGGAAATTTCATTCCAACTACAAGTTTGGGATCCTTTATCATCCCTTCTTTGTATTTTGGGTATCCAGCATCATCTGTCTCATCTGAAGACCCTTTCAGACTAATCAATTCATTATCATCATCAAGATCTGAATACCAACCAACATCACCTAGTAGATTAACTTTAGGTGGTGGTCCTTCAGTTCTTCTGTGTGAGGTTTCATAAAAAATGTCATCATTTGGACCCTGTAGGTCTTCATACAACTAACTTTGGTCATCACTTTCCTCTACACTATCCTTAGAAGTTTCAGTATCACTATATTCTTCACTAACTATATAGTCCAAGTCCTCAGAATCATCACTATCAGTTCTCTCTTCATCAGCCAAAAAATTGAGTCTCACTCTGTGCACTATCACTCTCATCAGCCTCATTACCTTCTACAGACTCAGTGTCAGTAGTATGCTGCAACCCTTCCTCATGTTGTGTATCATTACTCTCATGTTGTGTATCACTACCCTCACATTCCTTACCCACATCCTCATCCTTAGCTACCTCTGCACTATCATTTGAGTTATTTCCAATGTCATCAACTATGATGTCAATATCAAACAAGTTTATATCAATAATGTTTGTATCACCACCACATATGGCATTACCACCCTGTTTTGTGTCACCACCACCTATGGCATTACCACCCTGTTCTGCACCATTGGGATTTGACAAAAACTCACCATTAGATGACAAAACCATAATAGGATCTACACCTTTATCTACATAAACTACTATATAATCCAAACCCTTATAAGCCTAAAGCATTTTCATTACATTAGCATCACTGTAAATTGTTTTTAACCCAACATCTAAACTATAACCAGGCTATGTATAGTACATATCTATGTTTGCTCATTTTCCACCAACCATGTCATAATAAAGGTCTTTTAACTCAAACCTAGACATTTTGCCAAGGTCACAGTTAATTATTTCATTCACCCTACCACCCTCATAAACAACATGTGGATGAAAGACAAAATGGCCTCCATGGTGCATTTGAACAATTATGAATTTGTCTGACATTTTCAGCATTCACTCCTAAAGTAGAAAAGACTTTCATCAATACATTTTGGGACCACAAACCACAACCCACAACCCATAATCCTAAACAAAGATATAATCATGCATGTAACCAACATAAACTAAAATAATAAATAATCCATAATCCTCAAACAGATCACACAAAACAGAAACAAAATATAAAAGCATAAAGTCATACAATACAAATGCCTACAGTATATGACAAGCATAAAGTAATAGAATTAAAAAACCTATTCTTCAGGCATAAAGTTAAAAGTTAATTGAAGAAGAAAACAAACAAAATAATAAACTGAGGATTAAGGATAAACTTCACCTTTTCAGTGCATATCCCACACAAAACACAATAACAATAAACAAACAAAATAATACACTAACATCATTCACTACAAATAAACAAACAACCATAGGGGACCACAGTATATGAACAATTTCATATATACAAAAAACCACCATAACAACAGGATATGAACAATTGCATCGAACACAGTGCCATGACAAAAAGTTAACCACTAATGGTGTGAAAAAGGGAGGCACACAAACCCTAATATACAAAACATACTGGAACACAGTATATATCAACAAAAAGTATATCAACTAACATTTTATATACATATATATATATATATATATATTAGCAAATTGAACCGAATGAAACACAAAATAAAAAGCAATGATCGAAAAAATACCTTAAGTGCATACCCCACACAAAACACAATAACAATAAACAAACAAAATAATACACTGACATCATTCACTACAAATAAACAAACAACCATAGGGGACCACAGTATATGAACAATTTCATATATACAAAAAACCACCATAACAACAGGATATGAACAATTGCATCGAACACAGTGCCATGACAAAAAGTTAACCACTAATGGTGTGAAAAAGGGAGGCACACAAACCCTAATATACAAAACATACTGGAACACAGTATATATCAACAAAAAGTATATCAACTAACATTTTATATACATATATATATATATATATATATCAGCAAATCAAACTGAATGAAATACAAAATAAAAAGCAATGATTGAAAAAATACCTTACAACTTATTCTTCGTGAACTTTTGGGCTTCGTTTGCTTCGTAAATCTCCAAATTAGTGACAATCGAACAATTGAACACTATAACAAAAACACATTTTAGTGACACCATACTAGTGGCATGTTCTTAAAAAATGTGACAAAAATGATATTTGGTGGCATTTTTTAGAAAAATGTCATAGAGCCACAAACATACAAGGCTCTAGTGACATTTCAATTAAAAAAGTGTCACTTCACTACAATAAAAATGTCACTATAACAAATTTACACTTTAGTGACACTACACTAGTGGCATGTTTTTAGAAAATGCCACAAAAATAAAAATTGACATAAATGTTTTAGAAAAATGCCACAGAATCACAAACATATAAGGCTTTAGTGGCATTTCAATAAAGAAATGTCACATTAATTTTATGGCATTTTATAAAATAATGACACAAAAAATTATGTTCGAGACATTTACCAACAGATGCCACTAAACTTTAGTAGCAATGGCATTTTTTAAAAAATGTCAGGACACTAGGTAGGTGCAAATTACTTTTTATGACGCTTAAGTGAAAAGTGTCATAAACAAATATTTTATAGCATTTTGAGAAATGCCACTAAGCCAAAAACTTTCCAAGCTTATAATGGCATTTTTGAAAAAACAAAAAATGCCAATATATTTTTTAAATTTTAAAAATGCAATAAATGATTAAAAATAAATAAATTAAACTCAATATACACTACAAGAAAAAGCACATTCGGCGACTAAATTTCCTGACCAAAAAAAATTTGGTCGCTTACTTTTAGCGACCAAAACAGCATTAGTAGCCAAAAGTAAAGCTTTTTGGCGACTAAACAATTTTAGTAGCCAAAAGTTTACAATTGGCGACTAAAACTAAGTTTGGTCGGTGATTATATTGGTTTTAGTGACTAAAAAATTTTTAGTAGCCCAAAGTAAAGCTTTTTGGCGACTAAAAAAATTTAGTAGCCAAAAGTCTACAATTGGCGACTAAAAATAAGTTTGGTCGCTGATTATGTGGGTTTTAACGACTAAAAAATTTTTAGTAGCCAAAAGTAAAGCTTTTCGGTGACTAAAAAAATTTTTGTAGCCAAAAGTCTACAATTGGCAACTAAAAAATAAGTTTAGTCGTCAAAAGTTGTCATTTTTAACGCGGGAAAACTAAAATCCTAAGGCAGGAATTAAATTTTTTGGCGACCAAAATTTTGGTAGCTGAAAGTGCATCTTCGGCGACCAAATCCAATTTTGGTCGGCAAAAGTTAAGTTTTTAGTAACTAAAAAACAATTAGTAGCCAAAAATATAGAATATTTTTAGTCGCCAAAAGTGGTCTTTTTTTATTTTGCTAGTAAATAGTTTATTTTACATAAATTATGTTCGATAAAATAATTATGTTTATACATATACTTTTATATTAATATGGATGTATGTACTATATAAATAATATATGTTGCATATATAATCATGTGGTGCTATAGAGGTGTAGTGGGAAGAGTGTAGTAGAGTGTGGTGTATAGGGTTTATGGTGTAGGAGGTTGGCGGTTTGAGTCTCCGCAAGAGCGGATCAAATTGTTCTATAACGAATTATCGTCACGAATGACACTTGATAGCGTCACGAATAGTGTTTGCCATGACATTAAAGTGTCACTGAAAGATTTTAATTTTGATGGTATAATGACACTTATAAATGTCACTAACTCTTTTTTTAATGGCGTTTGATAGTGCCACAAATAATATCTACCGTGACATGAAATTGTCATTGAAAGTTTTTAGCCATGATGGTGTAGTGGCACTTGCAAGTATCTACCGTGGCACGGATACAAATGATACTTGTTCAAAATGCCACAAGACTAAAAAATGTCATTAAACTAATAGTTTTGTGGCACTTTCAAATGTCACTAAATTAAGAAAATGTTGTAGTGGAAGCCTTATTTTCTCAAATCTATACACTATTTCGTTCCGATTGAAACCCTAATTTGTTCAATCGAACAACCCTAATTTGTTGAATCGTTTAATCAAACAATCCTAGTTCTCTTCACTTTTCTCTTCTCAGATTCACGACTTTTGGAAGTGAAAATGATAAGCAAGCTTAGATATATATATATACACAAGGGTAAATTAGTCTTTTTACGTCTGCCATTAATGGTGTTAACGGTGCACATTACTCTATCAACCACAGGAGGTTATGTGGTGATATTCGAAAGTCATGAGGGTAATCCGCATATGGCCTAAACTATAGGGGGTAAAGTGAAGTTTGTTCTTAATTTTTTTAGTGACTTTTGGACTTTTAATATAACACCCTAAGGGCATGTTTGATTGGGTGGATTGGAGCATGGGATTAGGATTATTAATCCGTGGGCCTAACTATCCTATATTTGTTTTAACATTTTGGTTTAGGATTATTAATCCAATGGATAATTAATCCAACAAATTTGTAGGATTATTAGTAATGGGGTAGGGGTGAGATAATTAATCGAATAAATATTAATCCAATTGGATAGTGAATACCACACTAATTTAATAAGATTATTAATACTTCACTATTAATCTTATAAATCAAACATGACCTAAATGTTTAATAACACCGCGTTAATTTAATTTAATTTAAGTTAGTAATCATTATATTTAATCAAAAAAATAGTAATATAATTATTTTAGAATAAAGGCTTAAGTGGGCATAAAGAGGTACATGGAGGATAAGCTTGGGGGATAAGCTTGCTGGGTGTCAATTAGTGAGTTCCCCTCGTGGTTATAACTTTGCTGCGTGAATTGAATTGAGCTACCATACGTTGACGGGATCACCTATAAATAGGTGCGTTGGTGTTCGGAATGGAAGTAAGGAAAACAAAACGACAAATGAAAATATAGTCAGTCAGTAAACGAAGTGAGTTGCGATGAACGTTTAAGTAAAAATAATGACCAGCATGTTTGAGGGTCACAAAATTAGTGATTTAAATAGTTTAAAATTATTAAAACGATGTCGTTTTAGACGTAAAATGAGTTAAAATGATGTCGTTTTGCCAGTTTTAAATCATTTGAGCCACTGATTTTGTGACTTTCAAATATTTTTCAATAATGAATTAATATTAAGGTGTGTTTTATTTTATTTTGAGTTATTATAAATTATTTTATGTAAATTATATTTTATAAATTATATTAGTTTTTAGGATATATTATTTGTTAAATAAAATATATTTGCTTAAAAAAAAATTCATTGATATAAATGTTTATTAAACGTGTTTTTGAGCCATTATTTTATAAGTACCACCACAGAGGTCCTATGTTTTGGAGACTTAAATAATCATTGGCCTTCTGATTAGTTACTTTAGTGATCCTCTGTTTGTTATAGATCCATTGACTCCCGTTTTGTTCTGTACCGTGTTTATGATTATTGGGGGATAAGCTTGCTGGGTGTCAATTAGTGAGTTCCCCTCGTGGTTATAACTTTGCTGCGTGAATTGAATTGAGCTACCATACGTTGAAGGGATCACCTATAAATAGGTGCGTTGGTGTTCGGAAGGGAAGTAAGGAAAACAAAACGACAAATGAAAATATAGTCAGTCAGTAAACGAAGTGAGTTGCGATGAACGTTTAAGTAAAAATAATGACGAGCACCTTTGAGGGCCACAAAATTAGTGATTTAAATAGTTTAAAATTATCAAAACGATATCGTTTTGGGTGTAAAATGAGTTAAAATGATGTCGTTTTGTCAGTTTTAAGCCATTTGAGCCACTGATTTTGTGGCTTTCAAACATTTTTCAATAATGAATTAATATTAAGGTGTGTTTTATTTTATTTTGAGTTATTATAAATTATTTTATGTAAATTATATTTTATAAATTATATTAGTTTTTAGGATATATTATTTGTTAAATGAATCCTATTTGCTTAAAAAAAAACTCTATATAATTGTTGAAAATTGGGTGGTAGCTCGAAAATTTAAGGGTCGAATGGCCCGAAATTTGAAAAGGGAGAGAAGAGAGGGAGAGAGGAGGACGTCGTCGCCTCGCCGCTCGTCACTTCTGCCGACGCCGTCGCCTCGCCGCTTGTGCCTCCGCCGCGAGGAGCTCGTCCAGTCCTTCAGCCTCGCCGCAGCCCCGCCTCCTCCTCCAGCCGATTTTTATGGCCCCCTCCCCTCCCTCCTTCCTCCTCCTCCCGATCTTCTTCTCCACCCTTCTTCTTCTTCTCCTTTCTTCCCTTCCTCCTTTGATTTTCTACTTCTGATAGGAAGACGAAGACCAAAAAAAAAAAAAAAAAGAGGCAAAACGACGAAAAAAAAAAAAAAGTGGCAAAACGACGTCGTTTTGATTTTTCGACCCATTCGACCCACGGATTTTCGAGCAACCAACCAGGGTTGATAATTGTTTATTAAATATGTTTTTGAGCAATTATTTTATAAGTATATTACGACCTAACTCCGAGTGCTTAAGACTGGATTCTTAACTAATTAATTAATTTTAATTTTAACAAATTAAGTGACATAGGCAGAAACGAGATAAAGTAATAAATAAATTAAATAGTCACATAAATAATCAAAATGCTCAATAATTTTATATAAAAAAAAAACATTATTAGGGACTTTAATTTATTTTATTGATGATTGGACAATTATTATAAAAAAAATACAAAAAGTCCGCATTAAGTCTTGTGATTAGACTAGCGAAATTTTGAAATTTCAAAATTTTTCTGTGAAAATTAAAATTTCTTTAAGTTGGGGTAAAATTTCTCTGAGTTAAATTTTTTCTGTAAAAATATTGAGAAATCTTAACTACTATGAAAATATTATATATCATTTACAGTATAAAATTTTAATATTAGGACGCGGTAACGCTGTATTTGATTAGAAAATTTTAAAAAAATTTAGAAACAAAAAAAATATATATAAATAAAATATATTTACATTTGATCTAATTTCATATTTATTATCCTTTTTAAATCTCATGTTAAATCCCTCAACCAAGACACGTGGAAAAAAATTCCCTTTCATTTTACATCAATTCTCCAATTGTATTTTAATTTTCCCGACTATAATAATAATGATGGTGCTACATATATCAATTAATATATATTAATATACTAATTAGTGTTATGATATCATTAATGATCCTATTTATTATATAAATTATAAATATCTAAAATCTCTAAAATTATATCACATCACTAATTGATACTAGTGTACATTAACTAATGCGTAAAACATTATTCTAATAAGGAAAATGCTAGAGATCCCAAATAATTTACCAAATATTTTATCAAACCTCTCACATGGCTGTGGGACCCACACAAACACCCATGTGTGTGGGTCCCACACCTGCGTAAGAGATTTGATAGATTATTTGGGACCTCTAGTATTACCCTCCTAATAATAATAATAATAATAAAAATTAGTTGACGATGACTTTGATTAGTTAGGTCAATTGAACGTTATATGGCGACCGATGAGAATGAAGATTTGAGAAACTCAACGCCAACCCAGTTTACTCTGTCTCTCAAATCAAAGAGTCCACGTTCCCCTATCAACCCAGGTTCTCTCTTTCACCCTCTTCATTTGAGTTTTTACAAGTTCTCTTTTGGCATTCAAAATCGTCTTTGTTTGTGTTTTTTCCGGTTTTGAATGCATTGGTCGTCGTGTGTTGTTGTCCAAATTCAAATGAAATGAAACAAGTAATCGTCCAACTTGGTAATCATTTGTTCTGGGTTTCTTTATCACCAATCAAATTGCGTGTGTTTGGATTGAATGGTTTGTAGACAAAAAAAGAAAAGAAATTGATTTATCTAGATCCTAATCACTTGTTTGGATTACTAAAGAGGAGAGAAATGACAAAAAATGGAAAGAAATAGAGATAAATGGATTTCTCTTATAACCTTTTTTTTTTAATCCCTCCAAAAGTAGAGAAATTTGGAGAAAAAAAAAATGAGATAGATTACTAATTTTAGGTAAACTACCAATATGTTTTAATAATTGGATTTAATTCTCATCAAGTCATATTAAAAATAATTCCTAGTAATCATCGTTAAAAATAATTTTTTGTGACGATTTTTTGCATGTAGCTAAAAATTGACAATTAGTGACTTTTTTTTTTGTCACGGTTTTTATAAATTGGCTCTAAAATTTACAATTAGTGACTTTTTTTGTGACGAATTTTTTAAACTGTTGCTAACTTATAATTAGTGATATTTTTTATGATAATTTTTAAACTATCGCTGAAAATTGACAATTAGTGATATTTTTTTAATAGTGTTTGATGAAAAATACTATTAAAGGTTAGCGAATTTTTTTGTGATGAATTTTCAAAATGTCGCTGAAAGTTGAAAATTAGCGACTTTTTTTGTTATTATTTTTTTTAAAATTGTCGTTAAAACTTATAATTAGTAACATTTTTTATGACAATTTTCAAACTATTGCTGAAAATTCATTATTAGTGACATTTTTTAATAGTGTTTGATGAAAAATGCTATTAACAATTAGCGACTTCATTTGTGACATTTTTTTTAACAATTGGACAATAAATCTATCTATTAGGACTTATACGTAAGTTCCCCTTAATTTTATATGTAATACTAAAATTGTCCATCTAGGTATGAAAAAAATAAAAATAAAAGGTGGAAGAGTTTCTTTTCTTTTCTTTCTTTTATGCAGTCTTTCCAAGCAAGATTAGAGAAAAATCACTATTTTCTTCTTCTCTATCCAACTTAACCAAATAGGAGTGAGAGAAAACACAATCTTTTCTCTCTTTACTAAACAAATCAGTTCTTTTTTTCCTCTCCAAAATTCCCAAACAATGTGTTTTAGGTTAAATGGATTTTGGGACCAGAATTTGACCTGTGATTGAAACACATCTTTCAAGGATGGGGCAAGTTTTGGAACTAGCTTTTTTTGCCAAAAAGCTAAAAAGCCACTACCAAAAAATCTTCTCTCTACTTTTCTGTATGTCTTTTCGTAAAAAATCAAAAAGTCAACTAAAATAGCTAGTTTCCAAAACAACCCACTAAAACCTTAATCGAGAGATTTCAATTGCCTATGAAGCCTTTTACTGGACTATTGCTATGCATTTACCCTTTTATAACACCAGAAGCTATAGGGGGTGTTTGGGAACCCAAGTTTGTGGCTAAAATAGCCTCAAACACTAAAATAGCCAAATAGCCTCAAATATCCTAAATCAATGATTTATATTAAAAAAAGAAAAAGAAAAAGAAAAAGAAAACATCATTTCGGCAGTGGGGCAGCTACACTGTCTCGTTGACAGTGTAGTGCCAGCCTAGACTCTAAGATAGTAAATGACAATTTTGCCCCCTTTAGACTAATTTTGGAAAAAGTGAGGATAGAGACAAATTTGTCATTCCAGTCTCAAATATCATTTCAAACACATTTTTCAATACAACAACTCAAATACAAATCCATCCTATCTTCCCAAACACAAAAACTAAAATAGCCTACTAAAATAGCCAAAAAGCCAAAAAGTCTAAAAAATAGCCACTTCCCAAACACCCACATATCTTCCCCTCTAAATTGTTTACTTTGTGGAGTCGCACAATTACCAAAAGGAAAAAAAAGTTACAAAATCTGAAAAAAGAGACTGGAAAGTGACCAGAAAATGAAGTGCACGATGTATATTGGAATTTGGTGTAATGTGGACCACACCCAGAACGAATCTGGTCACTACATTTTCTTGCCAATTTTCAGGTTACTTTTTCTAGCTCTGTAGCATTGTTTTTAGGACTTTGGAGATTATGCCATACATGCATGAATGGTGTTAGAGAATAATTTTTAAGGATCTTAGTGACAAATCAGGTGTTTAAGGCTTTCTAGCTCAAATATCAATTTTGATTGTTTTGAATGTATTTTATTCAAAAATTTAGTTTGGTGAAAGGGAGCTCTTGCATCCATTCGCCAAAAATTATGCTTGAGCAAATGGAAGAATGTTTGATTTTCTTGACATTAAACTATCAGAATGGGGGGTCAATTTAGAAACAAATCAACAAGTGAGGAGGGGCGGCAAATTTTGAAGTTCACATTGTAATATTTATATTGAAAATAATTTTCCATGGCTTTGGGTTTGAGAATCAAATATTATGTTTTAATCAAATAAATACATGGTTAGCGTACTCAAACATCTCTCTTGGAAGCTTATATTCGCAAATTGAAATACTTTAAATAGATAAAATGGCTTGGATTCCTTTAAAGGTGAGAAGAATACATTTATTAGCTGTAATTGAGAAGGAAGATGAGTGACATTCTGCAAGCCTAAGAAAAGAAGAAGGTTGATAAAAAATGACATCTTGATATGGTAAAGCTTAACCAAGCAGAGATAACAATAAAATGTAATGGGAAAACTGAAGTTTGAGGAACAAAATAAATTTATAATTGTTGAAAGAAATATACTCTAGAAATGTTTTAAATTATTTGGATAAGACATTGTAAATTATTTAGAAATATATTCTAAATTAAATGGTATTTAGGAAAAATATTGAATTTATATTTTTCATGTTTCTTCTCTAACAAATGTGAATGTCTTCTTCTTCAAACATCATAAAAGTTGAAGGATCTAAGTGTCTTCATTGGGAATGGGTGTTAGACATGTTTCCCATACCCTTATCATACCCGTTGGACTCATGTACGCTGGGGAAAGTGGAAGATTCCTTGCAGCATAGAATGAGATTAGTTACAACTTTTATTTGAGATGGACTCTGGGGTTACCAACATTTTATATTTCTAGACCTGATATTTTGACATGTGTAAGGGATATAAGATTTCCACGAGTTGTTAAATTTTTTAAAATTAATGGTGGAGATAAAGTGAAATATCCTATTTGTTATCACTGTAGTGTAGAGTTTAGACTAAATAAACTAGGCTAGTAACCAATGGGGTTAGCCTATTGTCCAAAAGTTCTTGCACCTCACTAGGAGGTGAAGGTTTTGACTCGCCCCATATGCATGTGGTTCTGTACCCCATGTAGTTTTTATTTATTTATTTTATAGGTTTGTTGTGTTTGTGTATGCTTGTGGCTGTTTGTTGGACTTTCTTTAATAGTTTAATGTCTAGTTTGATTTAAGTTCTCATGATATTTGTAATTTATCTCCTTATTGACCACCAAAAAAGAAAAAGAAAAAGAAAAAAAAACCATGTTAGTTCGTTTAAAGTTTGATTCTTTATTATTAAAATGGAAATGCCACTTTTACGCATGCAATGCGGTGCAATCCATGTCCTGCACTTGCAAATCACCATGTAAATTGAGTTTACCAAACATTTGATCATCAAGAAAGAATTAATTTTGTAATGACAAGGAAAAGGCTTTTAAAATTAAAAATGTCTAGAAATCAAAAGAAACTCTTAACTACACATGCTGCAAAATATTAATGTTGTCTTTTTTCTTATAACCGTATCACCAAGCTAAGTAACAGAAATCCTTCTGACTTTAAGGAAGTTCTATAGTTTTTGCAACTCAAGGGATGAACTACAATGATGTGGCAGATACTTAGATTTGATTTACATTCCCCTGAGTTTGGTTATAATTCTTACTGAACTAATCTCCTTCCTGTTTTCTTCAATTGTTTGTAATCCTACAATTAATTATTCTTTTAAATAATTCAGGGAATTCCTTATGTCAGCGATGTCTTTGAACACAGTGGAAGAAGAAAGGATTTTGAAACTGTTAAAGGATGAGGGTTCAAAAACTATTGTCCTTGTTGGAAAGCCTGGAAGTGGGAAAACATGGATGGCAAAAAAGTTAAGTGCTCGTGCAACTAGGGAGCGCTTATTTGATTTCATCCTTTGGGTGTTTCTGAACAGAAACTATGACACCAAGGCTTTTTACAATAGCATCGCCCGTCAGTTGTTCCAGCTTTCTACTACTAAGGGGTTCGAAGTTGATCATAATGTGGATATTGAGGAGGTACCGGAGGAGGAGAACCTGGAGGTCCTGGAAAAAAAGATATCTGCAGCACTTGAGCGAAAAAAATTCCTTCTGATTTTGGATGATGAGGGAAACAAAATGAAAGAGGAAGAGATCAAAGCACTTTTGCCTGTTTCCCAGAAAAATTCATGCAAGGTATTAATCACCTCTGTGAATGGAGATCGTCATAAAACTTTTGAAACTAAGACGGTGATTGAGGTGAATACCCTGTCTGGGAATGAGTCATGGTCTTTGCTGAAACAGAGGACTGGGTCTAAAGTTCTTAACTTTCCAGGTATGGCACTGGCTAAAGCTTTTGTTGAAAGGAGTATGGATCTACTTCCTGCTGCAATTGTCATTATAGCGAAAGCCATAAGTTACTTCAGTGAACGTGTTTCTGGGATGCGAACTCTGGAAAGTGCTCTGGATGAAGCATTTGATGGTGAAAACAAAAATTTTATACAGCTACTGTCCAGTGTGTATGACATGTTGCCCAGCACTATTTTGATGGACTGTACATGGAGGGGCAGCCATTTCTTCCGCAACCGTGGAAACATCCATTACAATGAATTAATAGCCTACTGGATAATGGAAGGTTATTTTGGTCATATTGATTGTATTGAGAAGGCATATGAGGAGGGACATCGTGTTCTGATGGAGCTTATTGATTGTCGGTTGCTAAAAAAAGTGGATGCTGATTGCATAATCATGGAAAGATCGGTGGAGGCTGATTACATCCTCATGGAAAGATCTATGCTGAGTTTGGAAGACTGTCACCGGTGTGGATTTAATGGGATAGCTCACCTTGGATTGGCTGATTTGTTTGAGGATGGTGAGTGGGGAGGCCTTGGGAAAATCACACAGGCAGGTGGCATGATAAAAACACCTTGCAGTGGTAAAAAAGGAAAACTGTCAACCTTGCTGCTTGATGGAAATCGTCTCTGCTCTGAAGTCCTTCACAAATTCTGTCAGTCCAATCTTGAGCTCCAAGTTCTGGCTATTTTCAACCCCACACTTAAATCACTGCCACGTGCCTTGTCTGAAATTAAAGAACTTAATATGCTTGTGCTAAGGGGCTGTGATTTCTTGGTTAATGTTGACCTCATCCAAGAGCTTTCAAATTTAACGGTTCTGGAAATTTCTGGGGCTTGTTCCTTGGAAAAACTGCCACATAATCTTTTTGATAAAATGACCCAACTTCGAAGCCTTAACCTATCTGGCCTTCCGATCACATCTTTGCCCGACTCTTTTTACAAGCTTTCTGAACTCCACAGGCTCCTCCTTAAAGATTGTTCCAAATGAATGGAACTGAAACCTTTGAAAAGATCTGATAAACTTGTGGTGCTTAATCTTTCTGGTGCTGCTTCGTTGGTAAACTTCCCTTATGTAACCCTAAAAGGGATGACGAAGCTTCAAACACTCGATCTTTCCAACACCAAGATTCAAAAACCACCAATATTTGGTGGCATTCAACAACTCACTCATATCTCTCTTCGTGACTGTCATTGTGTAGAGAGGCTACCTAGCATTGAGTCATTAACCAGTCTCCAGGTTCTTGATATTTCGGGTGCTAAATCATTTGCTGAATTCCAAAATCCATCATTCGAAACAAATGCTGGCCTCAAAATCATCAATTTGTCAGGAACTAAAGTTGAAAGTTTGCCTTCCAACATTGGGAATCCCCATCATCTCTATTTGAAAGGTTGCTTTATGCTAAAAGAACTTACATACATGAAGGCACTTAGAGACCTGGAGGCACTTCATCTTTCTGGTGCTAGTAGTCTGGTTAAAATCGAAGATATGTTCTTTGACGATCTGAAAAAACTGCGAATTCTTGACCTTTCAGAAACCAACATAAAAAAATTGCCATCCCTTTTGAATCTTTGCAAGCTCCGTCAGCTATTACTTTCGCATTGCTCATCCTTGGAGAAATTGCCACAATTGAATAACCTTAAAAAGCTGGAGGTGCTTGATCTTTCAGGTTGTAGTGCTCTAACAGTTATACAAGACACATCCTTTGACCAAATAGATAGCCTGCCGTCCCTTTCACATCTTAGCAACCTTCATCGCCTCTTACTTAATAAATGTATTAATTTGAAAGAACTTCCACCACTGGGATCTCTGACAAAACTTGAAGAGCTAAATCTATCCAGTGTTAAGTGCTTTGGAGAAAGCGGTGCTGATTTCTTGGAGCATATGGGTCACCTTCAGATTCTTGACCTCTCTGAAACCCTTCTTAAAAAGCTACCATCCATGTCAAAGCTCAAGGATCTTAAACAGCTTTTTCTAAGGGGTTGTCAGCTTTTAGAATCAGTGCAGGACTTGGAAGCACTTACTAAGCTTGAGGTTCTTGATCTTTCTGGAACTGCTCTCACACATTTGCCACCTCTTAACAATTTTACCAACCTCCGTCAGCTGGTGCTTAGAGATTGTGCAAATCTAGAAGAGTTTTTGCATCTTGAAATGTGTGATCCATCAGGAGCCATCATTAAAGTACTTCCCTACGGAATCTCAGAATTGACTTGTCTTGAGCAACTTGATCTGCCGAACATGATGAAGAATCAAGGAGCTGATGAAAAGAAGATTAGTTGCCTGGAAGAGGAGCCAAACCAGTATCAGTGGCACATCTCCAGTTTGCCTGATATGCTCACAGACAGTAACAGACCTTTCATATCTGTCAGTAGTTCCAAAATTTTCCAACATTTGGAGAAAAATTCGACAGGCTTCAAACAGTTCCATTTCTCTGTTTGCCCTGTTGACCAGCAAGATAAAAAAGGAGGTATACATTGTTATAGAGATGAACTTATCTTCAGAGGTATTTTTTCCCAGGCTAGATGCTTCTCTCGTATGATTGATCAAGAGCGATCATTAGAGATCTGTGGATTCCATCATTTTCCCAAGGGTACTGAGCGTGCTAAATATTTATTTTTGTTTGATAATGCATTTGTCAAAGAATTATATGATCTAGCTGCCAATACCATCAAGCTGATGAAAGGATGTTGGATAGAGAGAAGCAAAAACATGGAGGTTGTTTTTCATGCAGAAGAAGAAGATGATGATGTCGAATTGGGAAAAGATTTAGAGGTGCTATGGCTTTCCAATCTGCTTAACTTTGAGAGTATATATAGTGAGAACCTACAGCATGAGACCTTTCAGAACCTTAAATATATGTATCTAGATTGTTGTCCAAAGATTTCAAGTGTTTTCTCTTCATCCCAGAAGCTAGAAAACCTTGAAGTTCTTGAAATAAAATTTTGTGATAAATTGGAGGCTCTGTTCGATGATAAGTCAGCACAGTGTAAATTACCAAAATTACACACATTGCATCTGTGGGAACTACCAAAATTGAAGAGCATAGGGTGCGTGATGCCATCTCTGCATACTTTAAAAGTTGGGGAATGCTCCATTCTTGTAAATGTTCTGTCTTCACACCAGTTGCCAAAAGACCTCAAGATCCTTGAAATGAAATCTTGTGATAAATTGGAGACTCTTATTGAAAACAGCAGCACATCAGCAGATTTTAAGTGGCCGAACTTACATAGATTGCATCTATTGAGACTACCAGAGCTGAAGAGCATTGGAGGTGGATTGCCATCTAGGCAAGATCGCTTTATCAGGGAATGCCCAAAACTGCCGCCAAGCCTTCAGTTACCTATTAGTGAAAATTGACACCGGGGACAGATGGTAAGGATGTTTCTTGAGCATTATAAACTGTAGAAATTTAATGTATAAAGAGAAATAGAGAATTGTATTATTGATTGATTTATATTGATATCTATTACAATGATTCATGATTCCTATATATAGAAGAGGGTGAGTGTGTAGTAGGTAAGGAGTAGGTGAAGTGGAGGTGGTAGTGGTGTAGTGGGTTAGGTTTAGTGGAGTAGGTGAGGTGGTAGTGGTGTAGTGGGTTAGGTTTAGTGGAGTAGGTTTAAGTGGGTGAAGTAGGTGGAGAGTAGGTGGATTTTAACATAAACCGTACTGAAGGTGGAATCCTTGAGGTGCTGGACAATTTTCCCTGCTGCAATCTGTATGTAACTCAGGTTTGTTGTGATCTGACTCCTTTTTACTACAAATAGTATGAATGATCTAATTATTAAAAGATAAATATTTGTTGATTTTTATTAGTAACTCTCATTATTAACAAGTATCCAAACTTATATTAAAAATCTGGGTTATGCATTGACTAAATATAAGGTTATGCTTGTCAGGCAGTCATTTTAACTAGAGGGCGAATCATCCTTCACTTGGAATTTGGAAAGCCTTGGTGTTGGAAGAAATGGAACAGAATGGAGCTAGATCAAGATAGTGTCAAGAGTGATGGTGCAAAATTAAAGGTGCTAATGCTGAATGCGCCATATATTGGGTCTGAAAATGTCATCCATAAAGCAGTAGTGCTTGAATAGTAGCATCAACATTAGAGGCAGACGACAAGTGGGTTGTGGCTGTGATGTTTGCATAAGAGGTATTGCTCTATTTTGTTTATTATTATTATTATTATTATTATTATTAGGGTACTTACAAATACATCTCCTAAGGTTTGATTAAAATATAAATTGTCCCCTGTAGTTCTGAAAATTACATTCTACCCTCTGAGGTTTGTAATTTTATAACAAATCGCTCTTTTTATTAATAAATCATCAAATCAATTAACAGTTTTTAATGATGTTAGAAATATGTTTCAATTAACAATTTAGGTAATTTTATTATTTTATGGGGGAGCAATTATGAATTTTATTTTTTTAATTAATTATGTTAAATAAATTTTTTTAACAAGGGTGTATTTGTAATTTTTTAAATCACAAGGAGCAATTTGTATTTTAAGCAAATCTCAGGGGGTGTATCTGTAATTTACCCATATTATTATTATTATTGTGGTACTATGGAAATGAAAACAGCAGCAAAGAAGCAATTCAGTCCCTATGTATCATGTTCTCAATCAACATGTTGCAGATCCAGTTAGGGGATCCACTTTAACGTTCAATGCACTGTTCTTCTTGTTCATTGCCATTCTCGACAAGTGTATCAGCACATTGATTGGCTTCTATGATGATGTGGGACTTCCACATCTCTGCAGTAGGAATCTTGAATCTTTCAACAAGTGCTTTGTGAGGACAATTCTGTGGCTAGAAAGTTCTATAGCCTTAGGCACTTGTTTCTTTATAATTTTTTAGAAGGGCTGCCATTGATTGTATCAATATTTTGACATGTTTGAGATATTAGCATTTTTTTTTGACATTGATTGGTTCAATGGTTAAGATTTGGCCTAATAACCTTGAGGTTATGGGTTCAAGTCTTGGGACCACCATTTTGTACATTATGCCAAAGGTTAGATGTGTACTCAAATTTTCCCCTCCCAAACACACGTTAATGTGTACTAATTGGGCGTTGTTTTAGCATTTGAACATGATTGAGTACTTGGAAAGTTGAAAATCAACATGTTTTTAGCATTTGAACATGATTGAGTACTTGGAAAGTTGAAAATCAACATGTTGGTATTCCTGAATTTTAGTAGCATGTCATTGCCAATTCAGTGAGGCTTGAAACCTTGGATTATTCTTTGTCTCAGATTATGTTGAGATGTGTTAGGATTATAATCTGTTTAAAAACTTACAAGTGAAAGCTTTATCATTCTCTTATCTTTTGTTTCTTCCTGTATTTGCTTGTATTTTCATATGAAAGAAGTTATGATCCACCCTCCCTTCTATGATAATGCACCAGATGATCCGTCTTATACATGGAGTTGATCCAAATTTCTATTGAAGCAAGATTGATTAAGGCATCGAGCAAGGACTAATTACAGAATTTGCACACTGCAAGAGGATACCCTCATGCACCAGAATGAAGCAGATCGGATGATGTGGCATCCTCCAGGTAATGATTTTATTTTTTATTTTTTTTACAGTGTGAACAACAACCACCAAGATGGCCAGTTTTCTCTTCAACGAACGTGAGCAGGTGCCCATGAGCCTGACTTCTGATCATCAGCTCTGTAAAGATGCATTGAACTTCCAGGCGTAACATTGGACATGTTCAACTCCTTCGTAATTCATGTTGAGCGAACGAGGGTGTGTGGGATGAAAGCAGTGTTGGATCTCTAGTGGGACTCGGATGCAAGACTTGTGGAAAGCACTGTGCTCCTTGCAGAGATAGGTCAGACCCCATAGGAGTAGGGTGCAAAGAGAGAGCCATCAATTGTTGCGTAAAGATCTCCTTCTCTCTGACTTCCAAGGGAGGCTCTTGAAGTGGAGTGAGACTATGATCAGCACCGAAGCAAGATTTTTGCTGTGGTCTTGCCATGTGTAATTGGAGGATCGTGTTACATTTCGTGCATTTATAGAATGGACTCTCGAATTTACTTAGCTCACACCCAAGTTACTACTGTGCCGAATGCCACTTTGTTGCTGCCCATGTTGGTTGCCTTGTATCCAAGGTAAGGCAAGTCCATAATTAATTTCATCAGTCATGATTATTAGAAAAATCTGTAGGTTTATATCTTTCAATTGTGTTCCTCTTGCTGATGCTTACTGTGTTTTGCTCTTGCTACCCTCTTTATTGCTTCCATTCCACCCATGATATTGATGATAACACACAATTTCGTAGGTTGTACTCTCATGTATCACATGAAACAGAATTGTGTCCTCCATTAGTCTCAAATATTTTATTTGCTAACATATTGAAGCTTCCCCTTCATCCAGTAATTCGAATCTAGATATTGAAAATCAAGTGCATACACCGTAGGATCAGGCATCAATAAGGCTCAGTCTTCATGTGACAGTATTACCTCCATTGGACTTTCTGGAAAGAGAATTTGGTGATCTACATTAGAAATGAAGGAATAAATAATTAAATAATAAATTAAAAAAATTAGGAGAACATAATTTGTGATTTTATTTTTTTTTTCTTTTGTCTGACTTGCTAAATTGTTTTGTAATTTTAATTCTCCATCTAATGGGGCTATTGATTTAGTGATTACCTCAACCTATTTGCCTTGACATTGTGAGTTCAAATTTGAGGATAGTCATTATGTGCATATTGTATCAAATGTTAGATATGCTCTTATTCTATCCCTTCTAGACCTTCATTTAATGCAAACTAAGCTTCCACAGACAATGAAGAAGCTACAGTGAACTCTGCCATTGTCGAACTGGATGAAGGTATATGGTGCTAAGTGCAGAGTTAGAGGAACAAACAACCAAATTAGAGGCGGGAAGAACAACTGTCGATACAATTGTGACCAAGTTAGAGGCCCTTAAACAGAAATGTAACCAAGATGTCACATTTGCAATGTCAAACATTCCACTCACTTGATGTTTTTGCTGAAAGCGGGGGTTGACTGAACTGAACAAGGTGCGATGAGCGTCAACATTTGTTCATGGTAGCATCTAATATCATTTTCTTTTCAGTAATGCTATAAACACAGGAAAGTGGTGTATTGTTTGCCTAGCCTTTTTTTCTCTCATGTGTGACGGTTGTTGGGCACTCTCACAAGTAATTAAAGTTGTCCCATTTGTGGGTGAGCTTGAAAATTTTGATTTTTGTTTTAAATGAACTAGGGAATAAATGAGCCGGACCAAACTTTAGAAATCACTTCATTATCATTATCTAGTTTAAGCCACTCATATCCACTTCTACTAGATGAAAATGACTTTGCCATATTAATAAATAAATTTCTATTTTTTTTTACATGAAGAAATTTAAAATAAAAAAGTAATCACTTAAGAGCTGTATCATGCACATGGTTGAAGTAAATAAGAGTTGTATTGCATGCACATAATTATTTCACAAAATCAATCATAAAAACATATCTTCTATGCACTTAGATTTTCTTAGAAGACTGATGCAAGCATGGATATTATTCCAAAAGCAAATCTTACTCATTACAGCTTATTTTATTTTATTTATTTATTTTATGTGAGCTCATTACAGCTTCTTGATTAGTTGCACACTGACAAACATTAGATTCCTTGGCAGGCCGCAAGGATTATTTTTCTTACCTGCTATACATGATTGTAATAGATAAATTTTCTAAATCATTTAGTTCTGAACGCTTGAATCATGAAAACTCAATCACATGTATATTTTACCGTTGTTTATTTTTATGTCTGTATATTAATTTTAATTATTTTAACTTTAATAGTAATAAATAATACAAAGAAATCAAAATCGGTGTAATCATATCAAATTTTGAGTATCTACATTTTCATCATCTTTAACAAAGAGATTCTTCCATTCTGTTGTTTAAATGCGACCTACGAGGAGGAGAAAAACATCGGAAAAAACATAGGTGAGAGAGAGGGATGGAGATGGAGCCTGTGATTCAACCTTCCTTTCACGAACATCCTTTGGCAGGGGCGGAGCCACAAAGGCCCCGGGGTCACGTGCCCCCCTCAATTTTGAATCTTTTGTTGTTTTTGTTTTTGTTTTTGTTTTGTGATCATATACAAAATGTGTTTTTTTTTTTCTTAACATGTTATTTGGCTAAGGATTTCTTGTATTGTTCACAACAAGTAGTTATTTTATACTTTGGTAGCACTATGTGATATTGTTTATGTAGTAGTCTAAACTAATAGTGTAGTGAAAAATCTTATGGGCTGTATGTAATTAACTCATTATTTTTCGGTAGTTGACAAACTACTTAGTGTGATTTGTGATTTCTCATGCTTTGAGCATCACATAGGTAACGCCATAGGGTACTCTTAGACTATTTTATAGTTTCCATTCAAAACACATCATTTATAAGCAATATCATCTCTTTAATATTTTCTATCAAATAAAAATTAAATAGATTTTATAATAATTTGTGCTATAAATGATGTGTTTTTATTTTCTAAAATTAGGAATTTTGATCCATAATTTTTTGTGCTAAAATTACAAATTTACGTCACCATCCCGAACCAAGCTATTGCACACTATTATAGAATTTTGATTTGTTCCTATTAATAATGATTTTTAATTTCTTATGCTTAAATTTAACTCATAAAATTATTATTATCTTAATGTTGATCATGATCCTTTTTTTTTTTTAGATAAAAAATTGTAATTAATTAGTGCTCATTCTAACTTAATTTCCTGACTCCGCTACTGCTTTGGAGCTCACTATATTCAGCCAAAAAAATCATTTGAATCTCCATATGAATCAGAGGAAAGGCCTCTGTAATGGGAGTTTGCTACCCATCACAGGTAAGAGCTATGGTTGTGTTAGTTGCCCTTTCTTCATCCACATATCATGTGCCCAATTGCCTCAAGATCTGCAACACCCATTCCATCCTTAACACCCTCTCAAACTCCAAGACTAGTCTCGCCATGATTCTTCAAGTGCCTGTGGGAAATCCTGTATCGGCATTATCTTCCACTGAGTGTGGGTTCGACATGGACGTTAATTGTGCTATGCTCAAGCCTACTACTAACACAACTGTAAACGAACAAGTTTGGCAGCAGTATTCTAATCAACAGATCATCATCAGCTACCCACATCCTATGATCCTTTGTCATAATCAATGTGAGTGTATTATAGTGTTAGTGTAATATAGTGTAATATATAGCTGTCATACTAATGATGTTGTATCTTTATACTTTCGGTGGGTTAGCATCCAATGTATCCTATTTACTCTCTATAAATGAGAGTGTTGTAAAACACTTAATATCAATCATAATACATACAATTTATTCTCTCTCTCTATCAATTTATCTTACATGGTATCAGAGCTATAAGATTTAGGCCTGTATTTTGTTTTCTCACCGGCGGGCAGCCGGCCGGCAACCTTGCCTTTGCTGCCCGCTGGAATTTTCTACACATACCTTCACTTCCCTGCATCTTCCAACTCTCCGCAATTGGATTTGAGGGTTATGAAATGAGGCTTGAAATTTCCTTTCTTCAACCTGCTGAGTGCACTACTGTTCACACAAATTGCAGATCTCCATGCTATCATCCAACTGTGACGAATTGCACGCGCCGCCCTAGGTTGTTTCACATCGGCAACGACACTCTCTTTCACCGCCCTCAAGCAATCCACGGCATCAACATTTCCGGCCGTTTCTCGACCGTACACCTGTCACCACTGCTGCAGACACCGTGACACAAGTTCCTGCTAGCTCACCACCGACACAGCCACAACCGCCTCCTACATCTGTGGCCAATTCGCCGCCGCCGGTGGCCTCTTCTACTACCTCTTTGGGTTCGCTCTCGCCTTCTTCAGTGGCCATAATGCCTGTTGTCGGGAGCATTTTGGATTCAAATCTATCACATGATATTTTGTCCTCGTTGAGGCATCAAACAAAGGGCCGTGCAGGGGTAGGCAAATTGTCTGAAAGACTGTCTAGCTCTTAATGGTCATTCAAAGGCTATCAACGTTGTACAGTGGTCAACAACACAACCACACAACCACACCCAGCTTTTCCTTTTTTTTTTTATCACCCACAAACCCCACTCAACTTTCTTTTATTTTAATATATATATATATATGTATATGTATATGTTTATTATAATATATATTTTCTAAATCAAAACAAAGACAAAAGAAAAAATGAAAAATGTAACATGACAACGGCTTCAGTAAAGCCAAATAAATGAACATGATTGGCTTAATAATATCTACATGAATATGATTTTGAAATTATATATATGAAAAATAGTATGTAAAATTAATATATGAAAAGAGGTTTTTTTTCATATTATGTAAAATTTATGAATTACACATTCTAAACAAAAACAAAAACAAAAACATAAACAAAAACAAAAGAAAAAAAAAAACATATTTTAACATGATAATGGCTTTAGTAAAGCTAAGTACTAAAATATACAGTGTAAATATATTTTTTAAAATATTTTTTATGTTTTTTTCTTTTGTTTTATCTTGAAAATAGCGTTTTATTCCAACAAAGTTTATGTTAAAAACGCTGGGCGAAAAAAAAAAAATTTCTGTTAAAATCGCTATTTGTAATAGCGTTTATTATGTTAAAATCGCTATTATTAATAGTGTTTTTATGGCAAAATTTTTTTGTGTAAAATCGCTATTAGAAATAGCGTTTTCTGGCAAAACAGTTTTGTGTAAAAAGCGCTGTTCTTAACAGCGTTTTCCTTGGGAAAAAAATTAACCCTAGAAGCGCTATTCGTAACAGCGACTTCTTAATCAAAGTCGCTATTTGTAATAGCGATTTTCCTGTTCATCTACTTTTGCGCTCCTAACAGTAAAAGCGCGAATAGTAATGGCGCTTTAGCTTAGTTTTGGAATTCCGTCAGAAGTTGGCCTAGTTTTGGAAATACAATGTAAAAAAGGCTTATATTGGGAAAAGCCTCGTTGTTTAAATGCGACCTACAAGGAGGAGAAAAACATCGGAAAAAACATAGGTGAGAGGGAGACATGGAGATGGAGCCTGTGATTCAACCTTCCTTTCACGAACATCCTTTGGCAGGGGCGGAGCCACAAAGGCCCCGGGTCACGTGCCCCCCTCAATTTTGAACCTTTTGTTGTTTTTGTTTTTGTTTTTGTTTTTATTTTGTGATCATATACAAAATGTGTTTTTTTTTTCTTAACATGTTATTTGGCTAATGATTTATTGTATTGTTCACAACAAGTAGTTATTTTATACTTTGGTAGCACTATGTGATATTATTTATGTAGTAGTCTAAACTAATAGTGTAGTGGAAAATCTTATGGGTTGTATGTAATTAACTCATTATTTTTCGGTAGTTGACAAACTACTTAGTGTGATTTGTGATTTTTCATGCTTTGAGCATCACATAGGTAACGCCATAGGGTACTCTTAGACTATTTTATAGTTTCCATTCAAAATACATCATTTATAAGCAATATCATCTCTTTAATATTTTCTATCAAATAAAAATTAAATAGATTTTATAATAATTTGTGCTATAAATGATGTGTTTTTATTTTCTAAAATTAGGAATTTTGATCCATAATTTTTTGTGCTAAAATTACAAATTTACGTCATCATCCCGAACCAAGCTATTGCACACTATTATAGAATTTTGATTTGTTCTTATTAATAATGATTTTTAATTTCTTATGCTTAAATTTAACTCATAAAATTATTATTATCTTAATGTTGATCATGATCCTTTTTTTTTTTAGATAAAAAATTGTAATTAATTAGTGCTCCTTCTAACTTAATTTCCTGACTCCGCTACTGTTTTGGAGCACACTATATTCAGCCAAAAAAATCATTTGAATCTCCATATGAATCAGAGGAAAGGCCTCTGTAATGGGAGTTTGCTACCCATCACAAGTAAGAGCTATGGTTGTGTTAGTTGCCCTTTCTTCATCCATATATCATGTGCCCAATTGCCTCAAGATCTGCCACACCCATTCCATCCTTAACACCCTCTCAAACTCCAAGACTAGTCTCGCCATGATTCTTCAAGTCAGATGCCTGTGGGAAATCCTGTATCGGCTTTATCTTCCACTGAGTATGGGTTCGACATGGACGTTAATTGTGCTATGCTCAAGCCTACTACTAACACAACTGTAAACGAACAAGTTTGGCAGCAGTATTCTAATCAACAGAT